TCCTATTTGTTAACCTATTGTACTTTCTATAAATGAAATTCAATCACAAAAGCTCCTTATTTTTATGTTCTCCATCCCTTCTTCTCGTTCTTCTCTTCCCTGTGAGATTTTCTAATGTGAACAGGAGTGGCTTCTCCAGCAGCACAATTCCCTGCAGGCTGCTTTGGTGAGAGACCCCCGATGCTGACCTTCTCAGTAGCCCACATGCGCTTACCAGTACGTACCTGACCTCTGGCTGTTCCCTCTCCAACGGTGAATCCTTACAGCAGCCCGCAGTGCTGCACAGAGCACACAAATACTTCTCCCCCTGCACCACAGAAACCTGGAGGACCACCTGCCAAGGGGAGGTCTGACTTGAGTGTCTGTCAAAAAACTGCCTGCAGACTTGAGGACAATCAATCTGCCATTCCTGATCACATCTTTACAATTAAAAAAACCCCCATAGCCAAAGACAGAGAAAGGCTTGGAAAAATCAGATTCAGTTTAAATGTGTGCATTGTTCAGAATGAGCTTACCCTACATAAATTAATTTTCTCTTCCGTTATTTGAGGTTCCCCTTATTTATTCAGCATGGATTTTACAGTCACTATTTACGTACTTGATGCAGGCTGTGTGCTAGATTACTTTGCTTAATCAGTGCCTTAACTGAGAAACTATGAAGACATCTGTGTACATACCATATCACTGTATCGACTTGAACATAATGCAAATTTAAACAGAAACTGAGATTTGGAGGAATCAAATTCCTCCTATATTTCTGAAGCACTCTGCAAGCACTGATTCACCATGTAAGAGTCCAGGTTTCCTTTTAGCCAGCCAGCTCAACCACATGGATCACCACTGAAAGATCACATTGCAGGGCCTTCCTGAAAGAGTAAACCAAATTGGGAGCAACTCACTAGTGCTAATGGAGATTTGGAAGGATTAGTTTCCAACTAACCAAGAAATCCCTATTTGACCCTCATATATGAGAAGCTTCTAGAGGAGAGAATGGATTTACACATGATCCTGTACAAGCACACCCCATCCCAGACTCAAAAAGTAACTCACACCTAACTTACTCAGTTGGAAACTGCAGGGTATCTGGCAAGCAGATGATGAAAAAAGTTGACTGAAGGAAAACAACAGGTCTAAGTACGCAGCTGGTGAAAGAGGCAAGCTGTCAGGGTATGATCTAAAGGATATTTTTTTTCTGTACTTTGGAAAGTGTGGGTCAACTTACAATTCAGCAATATATCATTCAGACGAATGCCGTACTGCAGCTCTGCTCATGACGTGCCACATACAAACTGGTCCCCATCACTGTCTCATTTTTACTTTCAGGGACAAAGCTCTAGGTAAGTGTCTCACAGCATGACTTTCAACAGGATCTATTATGCCCAAACTATCTCCTCTTT